GTGTTCACACAGGGGTCTGATACAGGTCACATTTAAAATGTAATGTGAACGTTCACACAAAAAGATCAGATTTTTTCAAAAAATCAGAACTGAGCATTAAGACCTGCAGTGTGAACGTAGCCAGATATGACCTTTTCATTCAAATAATTTAATGTTCTTCTATTTAAATTAAATATGCTTTAATAATTAAATTGATAGCAATAAAAGGTTTCTATTAAAACATTTCTGGGACCATTTGAATGTTTCTGTTAATGCGTCGATTTGGTTTTAAATGTCATTACTAATGGTCTTAAAAGGTCTTTAAAAGGTCTTAAATTTAACTTACTGAAACCTGCATGAACCTTGTCTAAACTGCAAGTCTCAGTTCTAACTGCTCAAAAGTAAATCTAAAATCTGCAGAAAAATAAACTATTGGACTGATCAGGAACTTGGACTTTAATGAAAGTGTCAAGTCATGAAGACTGGTCAAAAAATAATTCAGATTAGAGCTGAACGGTTTTGGAAAATAATCTAATTGCAATTTTTTATCTATAGCATGGGATTTAAAAAGTGATTATTTTTTAATGTCTTTGTCACTTTGTCACTCATTTTATTTCATTCAACAAACAAATAATAAAAATAAACAAATAATAACATTGTGTCAAAAATACGATCACAACATAGTCAAATGAAAAGGAGCAGAAAGAAGAAAACAATCTTATAACATCTGCCCCCATTTAAAAATATATGTATCTAAAAAACATACAACATACAAATATTAAAATTCAACTTAATACACAATATAATTTCAAATAATCAACAAACATCAAAACAGAAATACAAATCCAAAAACCAAAACTTTCTTCATATCTCATTAAAAAAACTTTTAAGCATTCTACCGAATTAATAAATTGTTCTAGCATCCTTAAGGTCATCAAGCAAATTATTCCATAGTTTTATTCCCTGAATAGAGATGCATCTCTCCTTCAAATTAGTTTTAATTTTTGGTTTCACAAATATTGCAAGTCCCTTTAAATTATAAATACTATCTCTTTTAACAAAGTTGGATTGGATATTTGGTGGCAAAACATTTTTATGAGCCTCATACATAATCAACAGAGTCTTATAATCCACCAAATTTCAACTATTCTAACTGCAAAGTATTTGTAGGGTGATAATTGTGTTTTCTTGTTACAATTCTCACAGCACGCTGCTGTGAAACAAAAACAGAATTTGTAAATGTTTTGCACGCACACCCTCAAATCTCAACACAATAGGTCAAATGTGGCACAATTATGGCATTGTATAGTATCAGCAAGGCTTCATCATTAAATAAAGTATTTTCCAACAAACAGAAGCAATAAATCAATCTGTTTTATAATAATCAAAATCAGGTTTATTTAAAGCACAGATTATAATAAAGCAAACAAATCTGTGGCTTTACCTTTTTACAATTTCTATTTTTTCTTGTTTCATGAAACATATAAAACATGATAAGTGAACTTCCTAAACACAGTCTGAACTTCACAGGACGGTCTATAAATAAATAAGGAAAAAAAATATATATATGTATAAATATAAATATATAAATAAAAAGTCAGGCCGTTTTATGAAGGGGGAGGGGCTCACAGAGGAAAGGAGGAGATAAGTGTCGCCAAAGCTTCTAAAAGTCTCCAAAAACAGAGAAAAGTCACCAGATTTTTCGCTAGTCGCTTTTTGTGGGGAAAAAAAGCCGTTAGATCTAGTGATAATGTCGCTAAGTTGGCAACACTGCTCTGCTCACTCCCAGGTCACGTGACCAGTCAAATCACAGCCTGTGTGGTTAGAAAATCTTGTTTTAACGAATCACGAGATTATCGCAAATGCAATTAATCGTTTAGTCTCAATTCAGACATCTTTGTTTCCTCATATTGAGGAAGTAAAAATATTTAAGCATATTTTTCAGTCAAAATGTTTGTTTTTGTACTGTTTTGTAATGTTTTGATTTGTTGCTGAACAATTTTGATGACTGAATAAACAATAAATCAATCAAAATATTTAGTGCGTTCTCAATAATGAGGTTCAAATATTTTTTTTATAACTGAAAAATTGTCACGGGGGATAAATCTTAATAATTTCTCCCTCTAACAACCCCCCCCCCCCCCCGCCAACCAGAGGTACACCGCAAAGGCTGAAAGCCTGAAGTCTGTCTGAAAGTAGTAGCATTATACACGAAGTTTAGATTTTTTATGCTTTTAAGTTAAAAATAATGAGTGTTGCATTACTCGTGAATAAATTCTGTGTGTTTGTGGTAAATGAAATGTTTACAAACCTTTTCCTGATCCGTTTGCCGTGTTTCTCTGCAGGTAGATGAAGACCCGATCATGGGTTTTCACCAGAGTTTCATCCTGAAGAACATTAGCGACGCTTGGGTGTGCACCAATGACATGTTCAGGCTGGCCATTCACAACTTTGGTTAGTCGGCCATCTTGGCGCCGGCGGGCAGGGGCGGTCCTTAGCGAAGTGAGGCGAAGCGTGGAGGGACGGCGGGAGGAAGCTGCTCTCGTCCCTCCCCTCCGCCTGCCGTCTCGTTCAGTTCTGATCAACTAACACTGGATTCTAGTCGTCCAGGTGCGTTCCACCCCCTCCCCCACCTTCAGCCCAGCAAGTAGAACTGCAGCACATTTCTTCGCTGAGAGCCGGCCGACCAATCAGACGGCCCCTGTCTGCCTCCTCGCTGATCTGCATGACGCTGGCAGCCCCTCGTTGAAAACAAAACGCCTCCACATTCAAGCCACCAGAAGGACAAACAGCTGATCGATGCCATTAACTTCATGTTCTGCTTTTTCTTTCATTCTAACCCACTCTGCTGCAGAACCGGTTCTGTTAGCATTGCCGCGGACCCGGTTTGTAGCTCCATGTTCAGGTTCACCGTCTTGTTTCTTCAGTTCTAACCTCCTGCTCATCTTTTGGTTTTAGACGCCGTTCATGTTTACTTTAGCTCGTGTTGAGTTTTAGCTTCTGTCTGCTCCTCGCTCCGATTTCCTGCAAACCTAAAGGGCGGCAGAGGACGAAGTTTTCATTTTTCTCTGATTCTGCGCCTTTTTATTATTTTTTTTTCCTTCTCACACATCTGGCACTTAACATGGACTACAGCCATGATACAAAATAAAACCTGGACATTTTTCTTAATCGTGTTGTCTCTTCATATCATTGCTCCTTGTTATTTTTACAATTAGACTTTAAATCTATTTTGTTTTATATTTTGTTTGATTGGTTTCCAGTTTGGCACTTTGACCAGTTGTGGCCAATAAACAAGTTTCACATTTGATACCATAACATCTTTATAAAGCACTTTAAACACCCACAGGACCAAAATGCTGTACACATAATAAAGCATGCATACAGTCATAAAATCAAAAAAATGAAAAAACAAAAACAACACTACAAATTGTCCTGAAGCATCTCAGTAATCCAGGTAAAAAACCAAAAAGAAAAAAATTGTGTAGGTCTTCTGGACGGGTTCTTCTCTAATGAAACACTACAAATTGTGTTCAAAGGCCATAGAGAAAAACGAGTTTTAAGAAGAGATTTAAAACCGATACCTGTCTGATGTCCAAAGGAAGGTCGTTCCATAATTTAGGAGCTGACACAGAAAAAGCACGGTCACCTCTGAGCTTACGCTTTGTCTTGGGCACAGTCAGGAGCAGCTGACCTGAGGGATCCACAGGGCCTACAGGGTTGTAGCAGATCAGACAGATGTGGCGGAGCAAGACCATTAGCTTTAAAAGCAAATAAAACTTGAAAAATCCTAAAATATACGGGCCGTGCAAGGAGGCTAAAACAGGAGAAACATCAAACGTTCGTGTGCCAGTTAAAAGACGTGCAGAGGCGCTCTGAAGCTGTGAGATACAGGACTCACTGATGTCTGCATAAAGTGTTACAGTAGTCCAGTAGTGGTAACAAAAGCGTGGACTACTGTTTCAAAATGGTTTTTGTAAAGAACTGGCTTTACTTTAGCTAGCTGCCTCAGGTGGTAAAAACTTGATTTCACAACTGTTCTGTTGTGGTTCTCTAACTTAAGTTGAGCATCAACTTTAAAACCCTAGATTAGTAATGAAAGGCTGATGCACTGGGTTGGCAGTGAGCCAACATCCACATCAGGTGTCTCAGATGAGCTTCCAAAGATCACCTCAGGTTTGCTTTCATTAAACTTTAAAAAATTCACTGCCATCCAGGCTTTATTTCCTCTAAACATAAAAACAGAGGGCTCGGAGTTGGTGTCCTTTTTCTTTAATGGGACATATATCCGCGTATCATCGGCATAATGAAGAGCGATAACAAATTTTCTAAGTATAGAGCTGAGAGGGAGCAGGTACGGTGTGAAGAGGAGGGGTCCTAAAACTGAGCCCTGCGGGACCCCACACAGGAGGAGCAGAAGTGGATACAAATGTCACCAGGACGAACACCGGATGCTCGGCTAAATAGGACCTAAACCAGTCTAGAGCTGTCCCACCGATGCCCCCAGTGCTCCGAACGATGAAATACGATCTGTGTCAAAAGCAACTGGCAGATCCAAAAGCACGAGGACGACACAGTCACCAGTCTGTAGCTACAAATATATCATTAAAAACTTTTAAAAGGACAGACTCTAAACTGTGTAAAGATTTAAAACCAGACTGTAAAACATCTAAAATATTCTGTTCATTCAAATACATGTTTGTGTGTACACATACATTTTTAAAAGAGATTTACCAAGTAAAGCATCATTTTTTTAGATGCTGAATTTATTATTTTGTCATCGAAAACTAAAGACAGTTCAAGACCCAGCAAACAGTGTTAAAATAAGATAAATGTGAATTCATACATGAAAATAATTTAAAGGTGATTTTATTGTCAGAAAAGATCATTTTCCTTGTTTTTACTGCAAAGATGGAGCTGCGATTACAGGAAATTCTGGAAAGGAAACTCAAAACTAGCTAAAAATAGCAAAATGCTAGGTATAAGTTAAAGGTAGGAAACAACTAGCTTAAGCAAAAAGACTGGATAAAAGATTTGGTAGAGGCTAAAAGTAAAAATGAATAAATCAAAAGCTGTAAAATGCTAGCTAAATGTAGCAAAAAAAAAAAGAAAAAAAAGAAAGCTAATCGATACTGCCAATTTTCTTTCCGATACTGATGCCAAGTAAAATTTGTCTGGTATCAGCGATACCGATCCGATACTGATACTTTGTGATAACGCACATAATGTGTCTGGTAAATCTTAAAAAGTTGCATTTTTCAAATAACCGATTCATAAATACTACATGACATAGTCATTTATTTATTAATTTAAAAGTCTTTCTAACCCTATATTTGTTTAGCACAATTTAAAATTCTTATTCCCAAGAAATACTGTATAATAACTTTTGAATAGTGAATAAAAGTGAGAAAAAATAATTAAAAAGTTATTACTTGTATATTTTGTAGCATTGTTTGTGGGTTTGCAAGAAGGTCCCTGGCCAGAGCTAATGCTGTTTGGGTGGGCCATGGCATGAAAACGTTTGGGAACCCCTCATCTTGAATTTAATTACAGTCAGATGAAGCAGATTTTATGTTAAAATGACCTGCCATACTTCTACAGACTGTGCACTTGCCACTCTGCTTCTTCATCTTCCAACCACATGATTTAGACAAGATTTGAATAGTTTAGTTGTTTTCCACTATTTTCCTGTTAATGATATACATTATGTGAAACAAATAAAGTATCAAAATACTGATATTTTGATTTTAGTATCGATTCTAGAACATAAAGTTTTAGTATCAGTAGTATCGATATTTCAGTATCGATCTGCACATCACTACTGAGGGGTCGGAACGCAAAGCGGTGCGGACAGAGCGGAAGTGATTGGTCGGAACGCAAAGCGGTGCGGACAGAGCGGAAGTGTAGCCTGTTGCTGTTGGTGAATGGTGACAGCGTCTCATCCTACAAAAAAAATAATTTCCCCCCCTACAGTGTCAACCCAGTCTCCCCTTTCCCTCTACCCATGGCGGCGAACTCTAACATAGATATCCAGGGAGCCACCCAGCACCTCCGGGACATCCTGAAGCTCGACCGGCCCGGGAGCAGCGCCGGTAAGTTGCAACTAAAAAGTGGCTGCGCTGTTTTAGGCCGCGCGGAGGCTAACAGACTGCTAGCAGGCTACTCCCATAAAAAAGTGTTATTTATTAAGAGCAGACTTTTCCTGTAGACTTTTTTATTGGTTATCTCCTTAAAGACCATCCAGAGGAAACTGGAGAATTATCAGTAAACATTTTTGTAATAATGTCCGCTAATAGCGGATTAGTTTGTTCGGCGCTGACTGCGACGTCCAGGGATCGTTAGCTTATTTCTGTGTTTGCCTGCCGTGTTAGCCTCTAGGAACAACACCACTGGTTTTACGTTATTTTCATTTGTTTCCTGCACTTTTAGCCCCTGAAACGCCAGTCTGTTTCTCGAATTTTCGCTGAAATTATTGAACCAGAGCAGAATTTATTTTGCTCTCAGAGAAACACAGAAGAAGGTCAGCAGTTTTGGTTTCTTTATTTTTGTGTTTTTCTCAAAACACCTTCAACTGCATTTATTACTCACTTTAACAATTTTAGAGCAAGTCGTTGAAAGCTGTGCTCCAAGGTTGTAAATATGATTATAGTTCTTCAATATGGAGAATTTTGTTTTAAGTTTTAGACACAAAAAACAAAAACGGAAAAGACTTCTGACCCCAATTAATGCTAGTTTAAATAACTCATATACCACATCTTAAAAATAAGACCAGTGTTTATT